GGGTGAGTTAGAGCTTTCAGCCTGGAAATTTGATGGACGTCATTAACTCTTCAATAATCATACATTTTACTGGTTTTACTTTGAACTAATAATGGTCATAGATACTTTTTTCTGGTCATTGGTGATTAATACTGAGAAAAATAGCTTTTAGGTCTGACCGTGTTTTATGACTTATGTTGCAGATAAAGCATCATCAAGTGATGGTAAAATCATTTTCAAGTCCTCGTCAGTCAAAATATCCGTAGTTAAGACCCCCCCCCCCCCTCAGACTCCAACAGCAAGAAGACAGTAGAAGGAAACCAGCAAGAGGCAGAAAAGACTGGTGTGACAAGCAATGGTCTAGTATCGTTATGTCAACAATATGAAAGTGATGAAGATGACTGATTAAATGATTCCTGTAAGCTGTCAATGTCCATATATCCGCAACAATATTAATTGCGGGGTGCCATTTTCATCGGGAATGCTCTTTCTCTGGGCACTTGAAGCTTAAGCCTTGGTTCTCTGCAAATCGCCAGTTTGTAGGTATAATGACTATCCTCTTCGGTTCACACACCAAATCTCTAGTTACTTTCGTCTGAATTATTCTTCTGACAATCTGAGAGTCTTTTTTACTGCTCGACAGTTTCTTTTTTCTGAAGGATTTTTTAACTTGTAGGTGATATTTTTGCAAAAGAGATTTGCTGAGTTTATAGTTATTACAGGAATGAAATCTCCTCTTCTTTCCCCTCATCCAACCACCCACCCACCCAGAAGAAGGAGCTATTTTCATTTTCATTGAAAGAGTAGTGGTTGAGAGGATTACATTATCCATTTTTTCCTAGTTAAAAAGAAAAAAGAGAGGAGAAAATTGCTGCCATTTACTTTTTACCTGCTGGACGCTTTTGTCTTTCCACTATTGGGTTTGCACTTTGGAGGATCAAAAGCTGCTATGCTCTTCATGGCGGCGGAAAGTTCAATTTTTCTTGAATGAATATACATAGCAGTTTTTGCAAAAAGTAACGTTTCCCTATCTGTTTGTTTCCACTTATTGGGGTTTGAACTTGAATTAATCGGATTTGAGTTCATTAAGTACAATTTTTGTAACCATTTATTTGGTTAGAGCATAACAGACTTCGTTTTCTCTGTCATTTATTCATTAGAAATCGTCTTCTCTATTTCCTTTTCTCTTCTAACTAGTTTCTGCAGTCTGACTTGTTTTTGGTGTTAATATAAAGTGGGCGTAGCAACGAAAATGTTGGCAAAATTAAGATGCAAGCGTTTTCCTTTCCCATATTTGGTTGGTTTAAATTTTAGATGGGAGATAAAAATTGAAAATAAAAAAGAGAGGAGAATGAACGATGTTACAATAAATAATATTTCTAGTGCCCTTTCCGTAAGATTTTCGGAGGAAAAACTATCCAAATTTACCTCTTCAAAATTTATGTTCTTCACACTTTTATTTATCTCCATACACAAAAAGTAAAAGACCTAGATAGCCTCTTAAATTTGGCTCTATTTTTGCACCAACTTAGCTTGTGACATGAGAGACACCATTATTTGAAAATATTGTTTTGTCAACAACTTATATCGACGTGACGAATTACGCATATGGGGCGCTTAATATTTTTTTTTTTCTCTTTTTCCGAGTAGAATATTTAGCAAAAAATTTCCAAATTAACCTTCAAAATGTCACACTCTCATCTATCTCGAAAAAACCCAAACAAGGCAAAGAAAAGCCATTCTCTTTTGTTACTGGTCTTGTCCCATCACTCAGCCAGTCGAATCGGGTTTTAGCCTATCCAAGCAGTCTGACCCGACGAATTCCAAAACCCTAGCCACCATTTTTGTTTTTCATCTTAACACTATATATACATCCCATAAAAACCCTAGCTAAACACCGCCTTTTGTGAGCCTCACTGTGTCTCTCGCTCTTGTACTCTCCAGCTCCAAAGGTCAGCGGAGTTTGAAGAAAATGCCGGTTGTACCTCAAAATTTGTTGCTATTTATGCACAAAACTGTCCTTGATATATTTGGTGAGCTTGTATTAGATAGATTTATGTAAATGTGGTAAAAAGGGTGACCAATTAGCCAGTCACATACATTGGCCCCTATTACGGGCCGATATTACTATGTGTGAATGGTCAGTATGTCACCAACAGTAATATTATTGGTGTTTGATAGCCCTAATTCTGGTGAATTGCGTCTAATTCCGCTTTCACTGACGGGCTATTGACATTACATTCTTGTCAATAATTTGGGTTCAGAGTTTTAATATCAATATCATTGCACAAAAAAATTGGCATTAAGGAACTTGTGAGACATTGCAAATGTGACTGGAGTAAATAGGCGAATAATGAATATCGTGTACCATTTTTAATGTATCTTCCATTTCTTAATGTTTAGAGTGTAGTTTCAGGTGTTAATAGAAAAAAGCATGAAAATTGGGTATAAACACTGGAAATGGATTTAGTGAACTTGAAGTATTGAGGATAAACAATGGTTTTACATATAGATGGTGTAGAGATTGAAACAAAGAAGGAAATTGAGGTAAGGCATCAGCTACAAATTTTACTTGTAAAAAATTGGCATCAGATACAGATTTTCCTTGACAGGTCTAAAAGAAGTCATTAGATACACATTTTTAGCGGGAATGGCATGGATTTTAATATTTCCCTCAGTACTCATGGGAGTGGAACGTGTCAATATCTTCACACATTTTTCTAAGAGAATAAATTGACAAAAAAAAAAAAAGTTTGTAAAAGTTGGAGTTTAGGATGTGGATTTTTTATGTATCTGATTTTGTAACAAGTTAAGGTTAATTATCTGTTGGTTTCCGTAGAAGCTGGAAGTGTGACCTAGTTAGACTTTTGATCTTATATAATTAGCAACGGTTGTAAAAATAGAGTTGATTCCTGATAGCAAGCATGACGAGGGATTAGCTTAAAGATTTTATAGGATTCTCATACGGTTGCTGTTGTAGTGTAAGAGAAAGTGAAATTAGCATGATTTTGTTTAAACAGTAAAAACTTTTGGTTTAGACAATTGGCCATCAAGATGCGAAAGATCAATTATTGATTCAACACATGGACAATACTCTGTTCAAAGCTGGCCCTATCAATGTGCAAGTTGATTATAGAAGATTAAGATACCAGTCCGCCCATTCTTGGAATATGCTTGATTTCTGGACAGAAGAGGATTTTATCCGTGCAGCAGGCGCAGAAAATATTCCCACCTTCTACTTCACTCACTGTGAGAATTATGTCTATGTCTATGTCTATGTGATCTGGGGCCTTTGGAAAGTTAGGCAAGGAAATCTGGTTAATCATTCCATCCTGTATATTTTGGTGTATATTATTATTGACAGAAAGAAACCACCGATGATTTCAACTCCTAATCACTGTTGCTGGTGCATTCTGCACATTGTAAATAGCACATAAACAAGCTTCTTTCAACTATTGTGTGTTTGAGCTGAAAGGAAAATGAGTAGATAATATTGACTAAGAACTAGAAGGAAAGAAGACTACAACTTATCAAAAATACTATGTCGTGGCAAGCCACTGTCTTGAAAGCGATTTCGGCCTGACTTGGTGCAAATCGTTAAGAACGGTCGCTTCCCAAGGTTCCACAGTACCTCCAAACATGTGCACTCGTGGCTAGAAGTTTAGAATTTGCCCAAAACAGTTGTCCAGAAAGAAGAGAAGATGAAGGTATTTTATGTGTTGGATAATTTACAAAGAAAACTAGGAAGAAAGTAATGATTAGCTAGATGAATTCTTGGTTAAGAATTGAGTGAATATGATGGCTAATGATCATCTTATTTATAGCATAAAAATGAGTTTAGTTTCATGACAAGTGTCTTAATTGTCAATTTTCTTTCATGCAAGATGACAACACATGTCATGCAAAATTACACTTGGCTTAGCAAGGCCATTTGTCAAATAATTTTTTAAATCAATACCACATGTAAAAACTCTTGCCATGTACCAATTATCTAAGCGTATTTGGCCACTTGGAAATAGGTAGGATACTAGTAAAATAAAAAGACCCGTGGCTATTGGTTGTAAATGGATTTGCAAAAAGAAATCTTTGACTTTGCATTATAAATAATACTAACAATCCCCCACTAATGCAAAGACAAGAGTAGAACAATTCTGAGCAAAAGAAGGAACATGTACTTAAGTGTCAATATCTTTCAATTTGAATTGACACGTAGTCAAATGAGGCAACAACTAACATCCACAAAGTGAAGTACTCTTGAACTGAATGGACATTAATTGAGACCCCCACAACACATACTATATCTTTAATTTTATGCAAACTCTGCGATACTATGAAAGTGCTTTTATGGTCACGCACATACCTTGGGTCTCATGAGTGCTCTAAAAAGACATCCCAAGTCTTTCATAAAAGGCGACCACACCTTTACACTCACGTAGGTGATTCCATCAAGTCTATCTACACATAGACTACCTTAAGGCTACGGAATCATTAAGAGCGAAATAAGCTCAACCTAATAAAGCACTACCCTACGCCATAGGGATAGGAAATGTAGTGCATATTGAGGTCTCATATGGCTTCGTTTGACCACAACGGGTATTCACCATACTTCCTCAATCCATGAGCTTTAGCCCCATCCCCTCGACGTTTCAAGGATAACTCTCCTTGCCAAACCCTTGGTTAAAGGAGCCGCCAAATTTCTTTCGGATCTTACATATTCCAAGGAAATAACACCATGTTTCAACAACTGTTTTATCGCACCATGCCTAATGCGAATATATCTTTTTTTTCCATTGTACATACTATTTTTGGCAATTCCAATTGCTGCCTGTGAGTCACAATGTAGAGAAACTGGTGAAGCTTGTCTTCCCCACAAAGGCACGTCTGCCAATAAGTTTCTTAACCACTCAGCTTCTTGCCCTACCAACTCAAGAGCAATGAATTCAGACTCCATAGTAGATCGAGCTATACAAGTCTGTTTTGAAGACTTCCATGAAATAGCACCTGCACCCAAAGTGAACACATAGCCACTAGTGGAGCTAACTTCATCATTATCAGTAACCTAGTTTGCATCACAAAATCCTTCTAAAACAGCAGGAAATTTATTAAAATGAAAACATTAATCCATAGTACCTCTCAAATATCTTAGCAAATGATGAAGAGCATTCCAGTGTTCACTACTAGGGTTGTGAGTATATCTACTCAATCTACTAACAACATAAGCAATATCAGGTCGTGCATAATTCATGAGAAACATTACACTACCAATTATCTTAGCATACTCAGTTTGAGAAATACTAGATTCCTTATTCTTTTTCACGTGTATGCTAGGATCATAAGGAGTTCTCAAAGGTGCTACATCAAGACAATTACACCTTTTCAATATTTTCTTAATATAATGAGACTGAGACAATGAAAAGTCATTAGATGTTCTTTTGATTTTAACCCCTAAAATCACATCTGCTTCTCCAAGATCTTTCATTTTAAATTTAGAAGACAAAAAATTCTTAGTCTCATCAACAACATTTACATTAGGGCCAAAGATTAACATGTCATCCACATACAAACATATAATAACACAATCTGATCCTATCATCTTGGAATAAACACAAGTATTAGATGCATTAACAACAAAACCATTATCCATTAATGTGCTATTAAACTTTTCATACCATTGCTTAGGTGCCTGCTTTAGACCATACAAAGACTTTCTCAATTATCATACTTTATTCTCCTGTCCTTGGATCATAAATCCCTCAGATTGAGACATATAGATCTCTTCCTCCAAAATCACCATTTAGGAAAGCCGTTTTAACATCCATTTGATGTATTACTAAATTATGAATAGCGACTACAGCAACAAGAGTTCTAATAGTCGCATCTTAGTCACAGGAGAATAACAACAACTACCCAGTAAAATTCCACACAATGGGGTCTGGGGAGGGCAATGTGTACGCAGACCTTACCCCTACCCCAATAGGGCAGAGAGGCTGTTTCCGATAGACCCTCGGCTCAGAAAAAAGAAAAAAAAGAAGGAGACAATTCATTAATAACTCCAGTAGAAACCGTAATAGTAATAGAAGCATAACAACCAAAAGATAAATGACATGCAATAACAGTAACCAGTAACTAAGGACTGAGGCTAAGATAA